CTCAAAACTCAATTATTTCTGAAGGGATTGTCAAAATTCAAGAATCATTTGAAAGGGCTTTGAATTGTCTTTGACTCTTGTCTGAACGGTTTTTCAATTGCGACTTCAATAACGTCGTTAGGAATAAATAAACAGTGGCGTCCCGTAAAGACTGCGGACTAGTCTTCGTTTGCTGAGAACTCACTAGTTTATGAGAGGATTTTCAAAATATCTGCGCTCGCAATTTTTTTTAAGTGTCTGTATTTATTGTCTGAAAGTGTTTCCTATTGAGATTTAAACAGCGACACTGATAGCAAAAGAAAACTGGCTTTCATTATAACCCGTGTTTAATGACTCAAAACTCAATTATTTCTGAAGGGATTGTCAAAATTCAAGAATCATTTGAAAGGGCTTTGAATTGTCTTTGACTCTTGTCTGAACGGTTTTTCAATTGCGACTTCAACAACGTCGTTAGGAATAAATAAACAGTGGCGTCCCGTAAAGACTGCGGACTAGTCTTCATTTGCTGAGAACTCACTAGTTTATGAGAGGATTTTCAAAATATCTGCGCTTGCAAGTTTTTTTAAGTGTCTGTATTTATTGTTTGAAAGTTTTTCCTATTGAGATTTAAACAGCGACACTGATAGCAAAAGAAAACTGGTTTCCATTATAACTCGTGTTTAATGACTCAGAACTCAGCTATTTCTGAGGGGGTTTGCACAATTCGAGAAGCATTTGAAAGCGCTTTGAATTGTCTTTGACTCTTGTCTGAACGGTTTTTCAATTGCGACTTAACAGCGTCGTTCGGAATAAATAAACAGTAGCGTCCCGTAAAGGCTGCGGGACAGTCTTCATTTGCGCAGAACTCGGTTATTTAGGAGAGGATTTGCGAAATTAAATCCTCGTAAGGAAGGCTGCTTAATAATTTTCATTTATACCCTAAACATTTTATCTATTAGGATTGAACCAACGAGGCTGGAAGCTAATGAACAGTGCTACGCCTTCTAATCGATCTTTAAGGACTCAGAACGCGGTTGTTTATGAGAGGATTTTCAATGCTTCAAAATAATTTGAAAGGCCATTTAAGTGTCTCTGTTTTTTGTTCGACAGGTTTTTCAATCGCGACGTTAGAAATGAGTAAACAGTGACGTAACGTACAGACGGCGGGATAGTCTTCATTTGCCCAAAACCCGCTTGTTTATGACACGATTTTCCAAGTCCAGACACCTTTTTAAAGCCCGTTCTAGTAGCTTCGTCTTTCGTCTGAACGATCTTCCAATTGAGACTACAATAGCGGGTCTGTGAGCCAATAATCAGTGGCTTGCACCACCCATAAATCGTCTTTACTCGATTACTATCTATCAACAGACAAATATTATTTACTGAAAAATGTGTTTTATCTTCCAGCACATGGTTCCGACGGGCATGACCACGCCCTTTGGGACAGCGGCGCCCGCCTCTGGTTTTCCAGCACAGAACGGCGAAGTAAAAGAGGATAAGACGGCAGCCCCGTTGCTTCCTCCGCCGACGGCGGCGCCCGCCCCTGGAGCTGGGCCCCCTTATAGCCCGCCGCCACCTCAAGGGCCGCCCGCCCCTGAGCCGCCCTCCGGACTGGTGGGCAGTCCAGTGGCGGCGGCCGCTGTCGCGCTTGCACAACAACAGCAACAGAATCAGTTCAAATGTGATCCATTGACTCCGGTAAGGGTTTGATGGGGATTAGCGGGAATCGGGGATTAAGGGTGGCGTTGCGTTGCAGGAGACTGAAATTCAACAAAATGGTACCGTGCAGCCGCCCACATCGGAGGCGGCAGACGCAAAGGCAGCACAGGCCGCCCAGGCAGCTACGGATCTGGCCAACCAGCCAAAGAGGCTGCATGTGTCGAACATTCCATTTAGATTTAGGGATCCTGACCTGAGGGCCATGTTTGGTGTAAGTTGGGCCCGTTGTGGGGCTGCGCCCCCGGCTAATTTCCTTTTTTTTTTGTAGCAATTCGGACCAATATTAGACGTAGAAATAATCTTTAATGAACGAGGATCGAAGGTATGTTGAAGACATTTACTTATTTATTTATTTTTGATTCTCAATGAGCCGGCTATGTTGCTATTAAATATTCAATGAATTGAATGAACTTTGTTTTGGCTCTCTTGGACTGGACGGGGGTTAATTGTCTTCCAAAGCCCATGGATTGCGCGTTTATCGAAGAACGGCCCTCAAACAGTGGCGGCTCGTGGCCATTCTAATGCGGCACGAGCCACCACTGGTTCTTGTCTTGTGTACAGAATGTCTAACCAAACTTTTCTCTGTATTTGAACTGTTTTTGACCAACTATTATAGACCAGTAGTGATTTTAGCATGGCTTTTTCGGAAAATGTGGTTTTCTTGCATTTTATTCCATTTATACATATAACCTATTTGGAACACGGCTTTTTGTGCTTAAACTAGATCGATCAGTTTTTTTCGTGTTTCACGAACGTTTTTTTGTTATGCCACAGTTACAGTTACGAAATAGTCTTTAGGTTGTTTTCTCCTTAGCGTAAAAGGGGGCGCGGTTTCGATTTGAACTCGGCCATGCCTCATCTGCCACATTGGTACACTCTGTATATCACTCAATTGCTTCATTCAGTGCCTGCTTCAAATCGAATTCTGTGGGCTTTTCTAGCGATTACACCCGAAAAACGCAACGTTGCCACCCTAGATTTGATAGCAGCAAAGCGCAGTAGGCTCCTCTCACATTCTCAGTGATTACCTCAAAGTGTAATCACTACATGATGCATGTACTTGCTATATTTCACGCTGGTTGCCATGGTGTTAACTGGAAAACATCGTCATCTTCATCTTCATTGGACGTTCTTCGGTTAACACCGTCCAATCGGCGATGGTCGCCACTGGTCCTTCGGCCATTGGCGGCCAGCCATTTATATATACATATATATACATTTACCGTGCAATTGTGCAATTTGACAATGACTTGAATTCTACTAAACATTGAGGCATTTATATGATGGCGTAGTGAGAATTTTTGAGTTTCCATTTAATGATTGTGCTCTGTAGCAGCTGTCGGATCGTCTTTATTATTTTAATGAATTTTATTTATTAATTTTTCGTTTTCGATTGACATGTTCTGTCGGCCCTCATTTCCATTGGCGTCGGCCCCTGGGAAAATTCGACGCTCTTTAATCACTCCGAAACTGTAGCGTCTGGTTTTCCTGCCAGGTCACGTTCCACTTAGATTCATCTTCTGCCTTGTTAATTTCCTTGTAATTTTTTTGTATTTTTTGGAACTGTCTGTCTTAATTTTGTTTTTGTGTGGTTTTAAACGGTGGTTTGGGATGTGTGCTCTAGATTTAGAACGCTTCAACTTAATCAATTGACCATTAAAAACACCAGCTCAGTGCCATCCATAATCAATTCACCAGTAGTTAGATGTACCGTAACCTTAATATACTCTTAATGCTGTTCATTTCATGATTGCCATCCCTTTAACCAATCGGATCGACAGGTTTTCACTCGCCAACATTTGGGCGCTAATGGGCGCAGTAACACCCTTTAGGGGGCTGCGATGCAAAAACTCTCTCAGAGTGATTTAATTACATTTTCAGTAGCTTTCTTGTGGGGGAGTTAAATGTTAAAATCTTGTGAGGGGTGTTTGAGTTATCAGGCTTACGAGTTGCCGCTAAGTGAAAAATGGGCGACAATCTGCTCAAAGCGCCCTTGATGTTGGCGCGATGTGAAAACTCTCTAAGCCCTTTAAAAATACTTGAATTGTCTTCTGAGCGGCGTTTTAATTTTTAAAATCCATGCATGGGAAGTTGAGTTATGAGAGCTAGAGATGCGCGTTTAGAAGAGTCGAGTGTCTTTTGGCTCATTACGCATCTATTGGTGGAGCAATTTCCAAATTTTTTAACAGAGATTTAAAGGCGCTTGAGATCTCTTTCAAAGGGAGTTTAAATTTCGAAATTTTATGAACGGAAAATCGAGTTATGATTGTTAGAGATACGGGTTTAGAAGAGCGGAGTGTCTTTTGGCTCATTACGCATCTATTAGTGGAATAATTTATAAATTTTCTAACAGAGATTTAAAGGCGCTTGAATTATTTTTCTAGGAAGTTTAAATTTCGAAATTCCATGGACGGAAAATCGAGTTATGATTGTTAGAGATACGAGTTTAGAAGAGCGGAGTGTCTTTTGGCTCATTACGCATCTATTGGTGGAACAATTTCAAAATTTTCTAACAGAGATGTAAAGGCGTTTGAGATCTCTTTCAAAGGGAGTTTAAATTTCGAAATTTCATGAACGAAAATCGAGTTATGATTGTTAGAGATACGCGTTTAGAAGAGCGGAGTGTCTTTTGGCTCATTACGCATCTATTGGTGGAGCAATTCTAACAGAAATTTAAAGGCGATCTCTTTCTAAGAGAGTTTAAATTTCGAAACTTCATAAACGGAAAATCGAGTTATGATTGTTAGATACGCGTTTAGAAGAGCCGAGTGTCTTTTGGCTCATTACGCATCTATTGGTGGAGCAATTTCAAAATTTTCTAACAGAGATTTAACGGCGCTTGAATTATCTTTCTAAGGGAGTTTAAATTTCGAAATTTTATGAACGGAAAATCGAGTTATGATTGTTATAGGTAGGCGTTTAGAAGAGCGGAGTGTCTTGGCTCATTACGCATCTATTGGTGGAGCAATTTCAAAATTTTCTAACAGAGATTTAAAGGCGCTTGAGATCTCTTTCTAAGAGAGTTTAAATTTCGAAACTTCATGAACGGAAAATCGAGTTATGATTGTTAGAGATACGCGTTTAGAAGAGCCGAGTGTCTTTTGGCTCATTACGCATCTATTGGTGGAGCAGTTTCAAAATTTTTTAACAGAAATTTAAAGGCGCTTGAGATCTCTTTCTAAGAGAGTTTAAATTTCAAAACTTTATGAACGGAAAATCGAGTTATGATTGTTAGAGATACGCGTTTAGAAGAGCCGAGTGTCTTTTGGCTCATTACGCATCTATTGGTGGAGCAATTTCAAAATTTTCTAATAGAGATTTAAAGGCGCTTGAGATCTCTTTCAAAGGGAGTTTAAATTTCGAAATTTCATGAACGAAAATCGAGTTATGATTGTTAGAGATACGCGTTTAGAAGAGCGGAGTATCTTTTGGCTCATTACGCATCTATTGGTGGAACAATTTCAAAATTTTCTAACAGAAATTTAAAGGCGCTTGAGATATCTTTCTAAGAGAGTTTAAATTTCAAAACTTCATGAACGGAAAATCGAGTTATGATTGTTAGAGATACGCGTTTAGAAGAGCAGAGTGTCTTGGCTCATTACGCATCTATTGGTAGAGCGATTTCAAAATTTTATAACAGAGATGTAAAGGCGCTTGAGCTCTCTTTCAAAGGGAGTTTAAATTTCGAAATTTCATGAACAAAAATCGAGTTATGATTGTTGGAGATACGCGTTTAGAAGAGCGGAGTGTCTTTTGGCTCATTACGCATCTATTGGTGGAGCAATTTCAAAATTTTCTAACAGAGATTTAAAGGCGCTTGAATTATCTTTCTAAGGGAGTTTAAATTTCGAAATTCCATGAACGGAAAATCGAGTTATGATAGTAAGAGATACGCGTTTAGAAGAGCGGAGTGTCTTTTGGCTCATTACGCATCTATTGGTAGAGCAATTTCAATATTTTCTAACAGAGATTTAAAGGCGCATGAATTCTCTTTCAAAGGTAGTTTAAATTTCGAAATTCCATGAACGGAAAATCTAGTTATGATAGAGATACGCGTTTAGAAGAGCGGAGTGTCTTTCGGCTCATTACGCATCTATTGGTGGAAAAATTTCAACATTTTCCAACAGAGATTTAAAGGCGCATGAATTCTCTTTCAAAGCGAGCTTAAATTTCGAAATTCCGTGAACGGAAAATCGAATTATGATTGTTAGAGATACGCGTTTAGAAGAGCGGAGTGTCTTTTGGCTCATTACGCATCTATTGGTAGAACAATTTCAAAATTTTCTAACAGAGATTTAAAGGCGCTTGAATTATCGTTCTAAGGGAGTTTAAATTTCGAAATCCCATGCATGGGATGTCGAGTTATGGTTATTAGAGATGCGCCTTGCCAATAGTGGCGTGTTATTTGTCCCATTGCACCTCTATCAATAGGGCAACTTCCGGGCTCTCAAAAGAAGATTGAACGACACTGAATTATCTTTTGAAAGTGCGCCCAGGTAGATCAAGGAAGGCGAAGCGTACGATATCAGCCAGTTCTTCTAAAGCACTTGTCCCAAACCAGTTAAAACCCAGCTAGGCCCCAGAATCACTGTCCTATGTTGATGTATTTGCCTTGTCCATTGACATATTTGACTAACGACCAGTATTTTGATTTTTTTTTTGGAACTTGTCCACTGGTTCACTTAATTCAGTTCGTTTCTTGCGTTAGATAGTGATAGGTTGAACCTAGGTTGTTGTTAATATATATATTGCCCATTGATTAAAAAAAGAAGAGTTAATTTTAATTTTGTTTGACAAAAGAACGCCGCCTAGAAGTCTGGTATGCGAGTTTATGATTTTTTCTGTCGATGACCGAAATGGGTGTAGACTAGGTTATGTTGGTGGCAGTGGGGCTTAAGCCAGTAGCTGGACCCGGGGCGGCGACACGCGCACATTGTCCGGTTATTTGGGCGGAAAGTTCGGGGCAGTTTGCTCTCTTTACTTGCATGGATCGTCTTCTAGTTTTGTTCTCCATGGTGCAAACTCTGATCGTCTTTCTGAGTGGTTCCTGGCGTCGCCGCTGCGTCTCTTTCGCGTTGAGTAACCGGACAATGATCGGCGGGGCGTTTGCGCTCGGACTACGAGCCGTGCGCTCCGACGCTCGCTGATAGTGCGTGGGCAAATGGTGCGCAACGCGGTCGCCGCCCGAAAGCGACGCCTAACCGTATAACGTAGTCTATCTAACCCCAAAGCTGAATTAGTGAGCGAGTGTGGAATGAGGCTTCTAGACAGAGGCATGTCTAATGTCTAACGTCATCATGTCATTGCACGCGTTTGAAGAGCTGTTTATAATGCATGTCTTGTCTGTCTCTGCATGCAGGGGTTCGGTTTTGTAACATTCGCAAATAGTGCTGATGCGGAGCGCGCACGAGACCGACTACACGGCACCGTGGTTGAGGGAAGAAAAATAGAGGTGTGCATGACTATCTAGCTCTACGTGTAGCACTGGCCTGTCCCGTCCCTCCCCGGTAAAACAAGGTCAAAACCCCCGTGTGGCTGGCTTGATGGCTTTAGTGACTAACCGGTAGCACCCCCCCGCTTCACACGTGTTGTTTTGACGTTCTTTTGCCGCACACACCATCAGTTGTTCTCTCTCTCTCTTAAGTCAGATTATGTCGAACTCTGTTGTAAGTCACTTACTTGCTATCGGGTACTCCAATGTCTGTACGTTGTCTTTAGACCGTGTCGGCCATTTAATTGGCTTGCGTGGATGACGCGACAGTTGTAGTTCCGATCCCCCTCCCTCCCGCTCACGGGCCGCCGAGGAGGTAAGTGGATAAGGCCAGGGGGGCGCCGCCACCGCCCCCGGATCGGGCGGGGGCCCTGGCGACGCTTCTTGCCACAACCGCCCACTTGACTAGCATAAGCGCGCGCCAGTCCAGGTTGTCTCTTCAGCGCTGCTCAGCTCGCGCACTCCCTGCTCATCTTATCAATGGCAACGCCGCTCTGTTTTTGCAGCATACATTAAAATGCAAAACTCACCTCTTTCTGCGCATGCTCCAACGTTTATAAGAGACGTCCTAAGGACCTAACCTAAGTTTGACTGCATTGTTGATCTGAAGGGGGATGATTTTGAAATAGTATTTACTCTCAGCAGATTTCTCACTATTCTAAATATCGAACAGGCCGCTTCCCTTTTTCTGTATCTGTACCTACATTCCTTTTTTAACCACTGCGGATTAGTTCTCCTATTTTTTAAACTTTTGTCATTTACGGTTTTCAGGTAATTTGTAATTTAATGATTAAATAGATGATACTTATTGTTTTTCTTATACTATTTTTATACAACAATTACAATTACCTGCAACTTTTATTAAATAAGCTATGCGGAAAAATGCCGGTTAAAATTCCACTTTGTGCAGAGTATAAACTGCTATAAACGAAACCTCAACTTTACGTTCGGTAACTGTTAACAAATTGAACTTAATAACAGATAAAGAAATAATAAACAACTCCTATTTAAAAAAGGTTTATTGTGTACATCACCAAAATGGGACATGCATCACGCACTCTACATGTCCTAACAAATCCTAAATAATAAGAAAGCCAAAAAGAAAACAGCATTAAAAATTTCAAATAGGGAATAAAATGAAGTTCTGTTACATTCATGGGACATACGTTACATAGATACAAGGTCCCCACAGCGATTCTTTATTAAATAAGATATGAACATCGTACTTGAATTTTGAACCTACTAAACATGTTTAATTCTTCAGAGGGCAGAAAGACGGATTGGGTCGATAGCCTTTTTCTGTAGGAAATAAAGATTATTTATATATAAACTTCAGATTCCGATCAACAATTGTCAACAATGTGGTCGATCTTAAGGTTAGGTCGTATTGGTCGTCTCTCATAAACGTTGGAGCATGCGCAGAAAGAAGTCAGTTTTGCATTTTAATGTATGCTTGTTTGTGCCCACTGGACGGCAACACCGCCGGCTTCATCATTTGGCTTTAGGCCCATAACATTCTCTAGGACAGCAATAAATCGTACGATTTATCGGATTATGCAGGTCAAATTGGCTGTAAAAAGAGGCAGGAAATGCGCAATTTAAAAAAATGGCTGCGTCCCCAATTCTGTAAATTCCAACTTCATTTTTCTTCTGGGGATACACAACTGGTTCAAGAGTACACAGGAACTTTGCTTCAAATTCAATCGAGAAAAACAAATGTGGCATCGACAATCCAGCAAGCAGGACATTGAATTTCTTCTGCAAACTCTCCGAGTGTTCATGAAAAAGTTGAGTCAAATCGGACAGGACACGGACTGTTCAGAAATTCCCAAACTTGAAGATGAAAAGCGCTGAAAACGCGATAGTTTAAAATAATTCCGTGCGTTAACAATCCTGCAATATTTTTTGCTGTGGGTATTGAATCGTTCATTAAAAAATGGAGAAAAATCGGACAGAACACAGACTGTCCACGAATTCCGAACCTTGAAGATGAGAGCAGCCAAACCGCGGTAAATTAAATAATTTCTGACTTCAATAGTCCTGCAAATTGGAAAGTAATTTTTTTCCTGTGGGTGCATAAATCTTCCGAAAGTGTTCATGAAAAAATGGGGTAAATTCGGACAGGACACGGACAGTCCCGACATTTCCAAACTTGAAGATAAAAGCAGTAAACACGCGGGACTCTTAAAAAAATCCTGGCGTCAACAATCGTGAAAGCTGGATAGGGGCTTTCTTCCTGTCGATATGCAAAACTTCGTAGACTGTTCATGAAAAGTTAGAACAAAATCGAACAAAACACGGAGTGTCCAGAAGGTACCAACCTTGGAGATGAAAATCAGAAAAGGCCCGGTAGTTTATAAAAATTCCTGGCTTTAACAATCCTGCAAATGGGAGTGTGATTTTTTATCTGTGGATGCACAAGCCATTCTAATGCACATAGGTAAAATCGGGAGTATAATCGGGCAGAACACGCACTGTCCAGAAATTTCCAAACTTCAAGTTGAAATACAGTAAACACGCGCTAGTCTTAAAAAAATTACTGGCGTTAATAATTATGCGAGCTGGAGCAAGATCATTTTTGCTATCGATATAGAAACCTTTCGAGAGTGTTCAAGAAAAAATGGAGCAAAATCGGACGGGACATGGTTTGTCAGCGAATTCCGAAACTCGAAGCTGAAAAGCAGCAAAAACGCGGCAGCTTTTAAACAATTCTGACTTCAAAACTGCTGCAACTTGGAGAGGATATTTTTTCCGTGTGGATGCACACGCCTTCCTAACGTGTTCATGAAAAATTTGAGTGAAATCGGACAGGACACGGACTGTCCAGCAATTCCCAAATTTGAAGGTGCAAGCGGTTAAAACGCGATAGTTTTAAAAGCATAAAAAAAATACTGGCGTTAACATCGTGTAAGATTTTTTTGCTGTATCTAAAAACTTTCCAAATTGTTCTTGAAAAATTGGAGCAAAATCGGACAGGAGAACATACACTGTCCATGAATGCCGAAACTTAACGGTAAAGAGCAGCAAAAAACGCGGTAGTTTTCAAAATTTTCTTACTATTAGTCCTGCAATTCGGAGCGCAATTTTTTCCTGTGGATGCACAAATATTTCGAAAGTATTCATAAAAAATTGGGGTCCAATCGGATTGGCTCAAAAATGACTCAAAATACGATGATAAAAAAATACTGGCTTTAAGAATCCTGCAAGGCGGAGAGTGATTTTTTTGTGGATGCGCAACTTTTCTGAAAGCACCCAGGAAAATTTGGAGGAAAATCTAACAGGGCACGGACTGTCCAGAAATTCACAATCTTGAAGATAAAAATCAGTAAAAACGCGGTGATTTTTAAAAACGTCTGGCTTCAACAATCCCGCAAGTTGGAGCGAGCTCTTTTTTCCGTGGATGCTTAAACCTTCTTAAAACACCTCGGAAAAATTTTAGTCTAATCGGACAGGACACGGTCTGTCCAGAAATTCTTAAACCCTAAGAAAAAGTAGAAAAAACGCGGTAGCTTTCAAAAATTCTTCCCGTCATCAATCCTGCAAGTTGGAGTGTGCATTTTTTCCTGTAGATGCAAAAACTTTCCAAAAGTATCTATGAAATGTTAAAGTAAAATCGCACGGGACACGGACTGTCCATAAGTTCACAAACTTGAAAAAGAAAATAGTAAAAACGCAGTAGTTAAAAAAAACTGGTGGCGCCTACAACCCTGCAAGCAGGAGCAAGATTTTTTCCTGTAGAATCACAGACCTTCCAAAATTGTTCACGAAAACTTGGACTAAAATCGGATAGAATACGAACTGTCCAGAAATGTGCAAACTAGAAGATAAAAATCAGAATCAGAGTTTCAAAAATGTTCTGGCGTCTACCATTATACAACGGTTTGCGGTATAATCTGGAAAGTTGTGCTCAAAGCGGACAGGACAATGACTGTCCAGAAATTCCCAAAGTTGAAGATGAAAATCCGAAAAACGCGAAAGTCTAAAAGATTCCTGGCGTCGACATTCGATTTTTCTGCTGGTCTCACACAAACCTGCCAAATGACTGCGAGAAAATCACGAGCCAAACCGCAGGATATATCGACCGGCAAGCTGCAGGAAAGCCTGCAAAAAGCTTTGCAGAAATGAGAAAAGCGTCCACTTAACTACAGCGAAGTGGGCTTAAGAACTGAGCATAGCTATCGGGACAGTCTGGACTTGCGTCTAGCTCTAAGGCCTAGATTAAGCTAGATTTAGGCACAGTTTCAGGCAAAGTGACGATTCTTGAAAAAACTCCAAACGAAGATTAAAAGCAGTTTGCTTGGACAGTGTGTGGCCTCTGCCAAGCGAGTTTTCACCATTCAATCGGCTTTCACAGCCGCAAAAGGAATGTCACTTACCTGAATTGTCCTGCAATGGTAACGTTCTAGAGGCCGGCAATTTATTGGGCTTTTTTTGAGGCCAACACGGCAATTTTATATTATGGCCGATTCACCCAGATGGCCCACCAATTGGCGCGCGGCACTCCCATTTTGATTGTATAAAATCCGTTTTCTTAGGGCTCTTTTGTAATGCTCAGACCTTTGGAGGGTTGCCAGACGAAAAAGGTCTTTTCCGCCACGGGAACAGCCCTATTTTGGCAGGTTTTATGCATAGTAAACCGTGTAAGTCGAAATCAGGCAAATTGCATTTTTTCCTGTGCGCTGTTGCCTGATTTCGAAGCCCCCCAGCTGTAACAGCCAGTAAAGGCGAGGGCTGCTTAGCGCAGCCCTCGCCCTCTAATGCAGGCACTTGTTTCTGTGTTTCTTTTGTTCCTCCCGGGTCTCTCGGCGCTTCATCCACGAAACAATTGCCTTCATTAGAGTGCCGGAGGGACACTTTTGACGCCCAATTTTTCTCTTTAGGTCAATAATGCCACTGCGAGAGTACAAACGAAAAAGCCTCCAGCTCTTCCTGCAGGTGAGAATGTGCGCGATTGGTCAGCGATGGCGCGGGAGTTTTAACGGGTTTTTTGTTCCAGTTCCAGTCATCCAGTGGCCTACGGACGCAGCCACTTTGAGGGCCGGCGTTGCCGCTATCCAGAGAGGAAGAGCGCGGGCGGCGTATCCAGCGGCGGCAGCAGCAGCAGCGGCTGCATTTGCCCGCCATCCCACCCCTTTAGCTGGTAAGTAGTTCGGGATGATTTGTTACGCTTGGCAACGTTGACCGTGTTGCTACGCACTTTTCCCCGATTTATTGGCCAATTACTGAATTGTTATTATATTATTGAAAATTATTAGGTTGCGAATAATCGCGTTTTATAGTTGGAGAACGAATTAAACTATTTCTTTAAAAGCCTGCAAAAGTTGATTGGAACAAAACAATCACCATCAATTTCTGGAAAATAGCCCCGTGGTCCGATTTTTTTGAAATTATCAGAACTTTAACAGCCAGACCTCTTCTATAGATGAGCAAGACACGTTTGTACCTGTTCTAGTTTAAACATAAGGAATTTTTGCAATTCTGTTTGAGAGCTATATGAGCTAATATCAAGCCCAAATCAAAATTAATTCCTGGGTTTCAGTCATTTGTTGCCTCTATGTATCAATAAAAATACGTTTCGGTGTATTTTTCCACCAGCATCAGTTTTTCTAAAATAACAGATAGTTAAAAAAAAATTCATTAATTTAAGAAACAATTACAGTTCGTCAACAGCCTCATCATATCACACATTAAAATACATCACAATTGCAATACTTTAAAACATTCTAAAATTAATTAGGCCTAACATGTGATTAGTCAGGACAATCAAATTTGGGAAGAGACTAGAATTCTTTGTTCAGATACTTAAATATTTTTACTTACATGTGTGGCGTTGTTGCTGCTTTAAGCCTTGGCATACATTTGGAGTATAAATTTTGTCCATTTTGGACACAAAGCGAATACAATACTGTTTATATTGATTTCTGTTACTTTCACCTATTTTTCTTTACATTATGAGGATATTATTTTTGGTTTGCAAAATTCTTCAGTATACCGGGTGTTAGTTAATATTCTATGTTTGTTTCATTTAATTAATGTATGATATACTGAGCTAAGATTGTCGGTATCCGATCTGAAATTCAGAGCATTGTTATGTTTTTTAATCTGCATCATTTCATGGACTTTTCTCTTATTATAATTACTCTCGTTAATCACTACTCAATTGTATTTTAATGTGTGATATGATAAGGCTGTTGACGAACTGCAATTGTTTTTTAAATTAATGAAATTTTTTTTTAACTAACTGTTATTTTAGAAAAACTGATGATGGTGGAAAAATACACCGAAACGTATTTTAATTGATAAATAGAGACAATAAATGACTGAAACCCAGGAATTAATTTTGATTTGGAATTGAAACACAGTCAGGAAAGTATATACAATGTGACATCAATGTAAACAAAACAAGTGTCAAATTACTACTTAACTTGTCTAAAGATTTCAACTCGCGAATAAGGTTTCAATATGGCGTGTCAAATAATGACGTCTCCTATCAAATAGCTTGCGACAGACTACGTCAACTGTATGGTTCAATTGGTGGAAAAATTGTGTTGTTTCAGGCGCATTGGGCTACACACCGGTGCTGAACACGCTTCCAGTAGATGGGGGCGTTTATTATGACCCTTTCCTGGCCGCGCATGCTGCAGACCCCAACTATACCAGCAGATTGCAGGTACGAAACGTCGGAAAACTTCCGCACCCTGTAGTTGTCCCCTTGTATATGTGCCCCCCCTGATTGGCCCCTGCCGGCTGTCACCTGTCAAACAACTGACGTCAATGCGACTGCATGGCAAACCGCGAATTCAACTGGCGAAGGGGGCGCTGCGAAGCGTAAACAATTGTTACTCGTTAAGTGTGGTTTGGATGTTTGAATTCGCAAACCGATTCACCCTTTCCGGGCCTGTTCCCATCCATCCCCTAAGTGGGGGTGGGAAAAGGCCGTCCCGGGCCTAAAATAACCGCACAGCCAGAATGTCGGAACGTAACCCCATTTTGCGGACGGCGCTTTAGATGTGCATGGCTGTGCATGGCCTCTGTTGTTTTAGGCGGCGGCCGCGGCCGCAGCAGCAGCCCCATTACTAAAAACGCCCCTCTCAACTGCCCCGCAGGCGAGCTACGCAGCAGCAGCAACCTACACAGCAGTGGCGGCGCGGTACGGCGCAGCAGCCGCAGCAGCGCAGCCTGTAGCCGGCTACGCCGCAGTTGGCTATGGAAGGGATTACGCAGACCCCTATTTGGGCCATGGGATTGGGCCGATGGCGGGATATGGGGTAAGTTTTCCCATTTTTTCTCCCGGTTCCGTTCATCATCAGGCCCCCTCTTAAAAACCCGAAACAATTTCCTTCTAGAGCGTGTCCGAGAAACTTTCCCCTTGGAACCCCTAAAACCGATCCGTCCCCCCGGTCCAGTGTATGTTGAGTATGAGTTTTGGGGGCCTTTCTGCCGATTTAACGGCGTTTCTGTTTGTAACAGGCGGCAGCTGTGTACCGCAGCGGCTACAATCGATTCGCCCCCTATTGAGCATATCCCCGCTGCTGAAGGCCTACCGAACAAACCAACTCAATACTCATCTTACTTTCTATCGTTCTTTATTTTGTGTCCGACACACAACCAAGCACAAAACCAAGACAGCGGAGCCAAAGAGCTGTAACTCACACTAACTTAAGCCCTTGTGATAGCCCATCTAACCCAGCTCTCTAATATGTAGTTTTAACTTTTTTTTGTATTTCTTTGTATGTTTGACGGCGTTTCCATTCACTTATACTTCACAAGAAAGCTGGTTGTAATTGTGTTTTTTTTCTATTATTATTTTTAGCCCTTACCTTTTGTACGAGCTGTATATATATTTTTTATATAATTTAATTTTCTAACTAATATACTGATAGAGTTACGACTGCTAGATGTTATTTTAGGATTAGCTGCTAATTTAGTTAAGGCTGTTCTACTGATGAGGCCGGGGCAGTTTTGCTTGATAGGGTGATTCAAAAAGCGCTGTATTTTCATAACGATCTGTCGGTAACAGAAATTTTCATTAAAAAATAAGGCCAGCAATCTGCTTTTGAATCACGCTGTATTGTGGATTGTTTTGACGCAAAAAATTGAAAATTGCCCCCTTTATATAAGTGCAATGGAAACGAATCGACTTGGAATTATCTGGTTTATTACTGAGGCACGGCCTGCATACAACATATCGAAGATATTATCTCACTCTATCTCTAGTTATGTGTATATATATGGTTATTCGCCCTTCTCTATCTCTTTCTCTCTGTTCTAGGATGTATTTTCATATTCGAATTTAAGCTCTCTAAGTTTGTGATCTTAGATGTTGTTAGGTTAAGTATAAATACTCATTACAATGTGCCACACACCCACGAAGAATCTCACACACGTTTTCGTGTCGAATGGAGGAAAGACAGTGAAAATACACCCTAAGCCACCCGGTTTTCTAGTCGCTGTAAATACCCAGAACACGTACAAACAGGAACCTACTCTGGTTTGCCAGTTTGGTCACAAGCGGTCGCAGGAGCACAAAACTTTGTTTTTATTACGAATATCTGCAGTTTGACGCAAAAAGGATGAAGGTGTATTTGAGGAAAATAAATCTGTAAACAAGTAGACGTGTGTTTTATTCGGAAACTTCCAATATATTGATTAGAAAACCGTTGGAAACAAGGTAGAAAAAACTGAGAAACCAGACACGGTTTCGGGCCGCGCAAATAGCACAAAAGAACACCAATGAGTACTGGATACCGGTTTGGCTGACGCTCTTGACCAAAATCAAGTCGCTTCAGCCATACAGGTTTCCTGGAAATTCCTGGTCAGACAGGGTATCGTCGTCGTGATCCGATTCTGGATCCTTCCGCTTTCTCCCATACGCTCTCTTGCTTGTTGTGGGCAACTGATCAGTTTCGCCATGCAACAGCGAGTTGCGATAAAGCTGCAAAGGCTGCCAGTCCTCTCCTCTACTACTTGGCATTCCTGCAAAAGATCTTCGATTAATACCTGAACCAACTGTGATCGATTTCACAGTGAGCGGCAATTTATTGCAAATCATTATTTAAAAATCAGGTGTTTATTTTTCGAAAAAAACGCCCGGATCGTTCGATTTTTGTTTTTAATTGCGCATTTTCTTTTATGGAGGGTGACCCGAATTTTCCATATATTTATTACTGAAAAATGATTCCGAAGTTTTGTTTTTAAAAATGGCTTATTTTTCAGCCCACTTTTCTTGGTTCCGGTTTTTACCGATTGCTCACTTAACATATTTTTAGCTTCTTTCAAATTTTGCTTTGTCATTTTCAGCGTTTTGAGTGGCTTTTTTGCAGTTTTTTCCACATTCATTTGGAATGGTTAGAGTTGAAGCAGAATGGTTGAAGTTAATTTAATTCATACAATATTAACTGTGCTAAAATTAATTCCTGGGTTTCAGTCATTTATTGTCTTTATTTAAATTTAAATTTTTTTAAATTAAAAACAATTACAGTTTATAATTAATATTTAATATTTAAGTATCTGAACAAAGAATTCTAGTCTCTTCTCAAATTTGATTGTCCTGACTAATCACCTGTTAGGCCTAATTAATTTTAGAATGTTTTAAAGCGTTGCAATTGTGATGTATTTTAATGTGTGATATGATGAGGCTGTTGACGAACTGTGATTGTTTTTTAAATGAATGAAATTTTTTTTAAACTATGTTATTTTAGAAAAACTGATGATGGTGGAAAGATACACCGAAACGTATTTTAATTGATAAATAAAGACAATAAATGACTGAAACCCAGGAATTAATTTTGATTTGGAATTGAAACACAGTCAGGAAAGTATATACTAAAATTTATTAACATACTCTTTTTTAGGTAGCTTTTGAGAATGATAGCACATTTGCTATCGAAGCTGCAAGGTAACTTTTCTAAATAACTTTTTTAACTAACTGGAATTTTACAGCTTGAGCCTAACGGTCTCCGGGTTCCCTTTAGGTAAAAGTTCTCGATCAMCTTTTGGTACAGAAATCGTTCTTTATGGTGAAATAAGAGCACTCTTTATCAATCTGTTATAGAAGCCTCAAGGAAAAGGTTTCAAACCCCCGTTTGGATGAAAGCAAAGTTGTTTCCCTGATGCGTATGTTTGTTGTATTTGCGGTTCATAAATGAATGTATTTGGACTTACCCGTGTGAATTCGACGGTCCAGAAAAGTCATCACCACCTTCTTATCCTGTTTCAGTAGCTTGTTGGTGAACTCTGCAAGGATTTCCAAGAAGGGCAAATTGGGGGGCGGCCCGGTTGGGTCTTCGGCGTTTTCAGCGCCGGTGACCGCGAACAAAATCCCCGCCCTGTGCAGAGCCGTGATGGCTTCCCTGTTTTTCAGGGCGTCCAGCCCAAAGGACAGCGCAAACCGCTTGGCCAGCTCCTGCAAACACCACGAGTATTCATATGAGCGCTTGTTTTTTTTTGGCCTGCTGAGCCACCTTTAAGGCAAAGAATTCCTCCTGCTGACGCATGTTGCGGGCGGCGGCCCTCTGGATTTCGTTGAACATCATGTTCAGACTGAGGCACATGGTGAGGGCGCAGTTCACCTTGTTGATCTCGCGCGCCTTGCCCAGAGTCGTCTTGATTATGTCCCCGTACTCGTTGTAGTACTTGACGTAGTTCTTGAAGACGTCAGCGCCTGAAAGCTCAACAGTACTGAAAATCGCGCGGGCGCCACCGGGGGCGCCGCCCTACCTGACTTAGTGGGCATGATGTTGTAGACAATCAGCTTGCAGTAGGCGGCAAGGAAGTTGCGCCGCTTGTGCAGCTCTTCGATCTGGGGTTCGTCGTTGTCGTTGTCCGTGTCGGGCACAAACACGTATGTTTGCACAAACTCATTGAGCAGATCTTGAAACTCTTTGTTGGGGGCGCAAGAGAGCTCCCCCAAGTACTCATGGCCCGACTTGAGCTGCTCGCTGGACGACAATGGTAGAAAAACAGCAAAAAGGGGAGAAAAGCGGTCGTTTTACCTGAACACTATCAGCAAGTCGCACAGCCCCATGTAGGCCTCGGCCTTGATGGCAACATGCGGCGAGGCCCGGATCAGCATCTGCGAGGCTTCAATAAATTGATCCAGCTTATCGCGCAAATCCTGCACATCCGAATGTTGCAGGCTGCCCCGTTCTTGCGCCGCCTCCAAGTCCCGCAGGCCCCACAACAGATGGTAGTAGCAGGAGCTCAGACAGTATTTGAGCGCCTCTTCGGGCAGCGTACTTTCCACGTCCTGCAACCACACCATTGCAGCAAACGCGCAAAAATCCCGCAGTTTGCCACCTTAAAATCCTGGAACAGCGTCTCCCACAAGTCCCACTGGTTCAAGTTGTGGCAGGCGTAGAACATGGACACCTTCTTCAGCGAACTGACCACGTTGAAGATCTCGTCGGCGTTGGGCGTTTCTTCGCCCAACAGCAAATTGCGCCAATCATCAATCGCCTCTTTGTAAGCGGACACGATCACGTCGATGATCGTGGACCTGGCGACATCACATCGGGTGTAGATCGAATGGCCTTCCGTGCAAAGGATTTCCAAAGTTTTAGCGAGCGTTTCCAACACCTGCAAAGAATGGGCATTTTTTCAAAAACCAACACATTTCAACGGTTTCTTTCAATATAGGTACCTCCGGTTCGTGCAATACTTGCACAATGTACTTCAGTTTGGCAAGCAGCGCTTGAAGCGATCCTTCCTGCCGCCCACTCGTGTAGAGATCCAGGTCGAAGTGTTGCGGGATGCTGAGCAGGTTGGCCAGTTTCTCGGGATCGGCCGAAAATTTGTCCAGCAGCGGCGGCAGGGTTCCGATGTAGTGCTCGGTCAGCTTCTGCTTGTCTTCGCCAGTCTGCAACCAGAGGAACGAGAGCATTGTTTCCAGAGGTAGGTAGCTTTATTTCTAACCTGCTTTATTTCGCGCAATGAGGAGACTTTCCGGTTGGGGCCGCGCCCCACCGGCGCTTCCCCGGTCGCCGCTTGTTTCACACAGCAGACCATTATCTCGATCAGACTGGTTTCCTGTCTGAAATAATTAAAAATACGTCAACCTACACAAAGATTTAGTTTTGAAGTCTGTACGGTAGCTTATAGGTATTTGCTTTTTGATGATTAAATAAACAAACTCTCACCGGTTATCCAACGGTTCTTCTTGGGGCCCGGGCTCTTCGAGCAGCAAATCAGTCATACACTCCCAGTCCTTCATCATGGTGTTTGACTCAATGAGCGAGTCCACCAAATATGCGGCATGTTCATGCAGTTCGGACTCGATGAAAAACTGCACCAAATCCCTTATGAAGGGCGTGTTGGGAAGCCGGCGTTTTCCCCTGCGAGTTTTTCCCGCATCCATGTCCCCTGGCTGGAAGAGGCGCTCGTTCAAAAACTCGCCGGCTGCTTGCGCTACTGCTCGATGGGACGAATAGACCTGCACGAAGCCTGCAATAAAAACCAGCCACTGGAGAAGGAGAGTGACTCACCAGTTCATAGACGTGCTCGCAATCTTTATCCGTCAAGATCTCGTGATGGTGCTTGAGAATGGAGATTACCAGCTTAACGGCCTGAACTGCCACATCGTACTCCTTGTCCAGAGTCATCGCGACGATGCGATCCTTGAACTTGTTGGTGAAAAGCTCCAGTTTGCCCTTTAGCTCCTCGCTTGCGTAGAGCGGCTGCAAGGCCTGGAGGCATCTGAGGCGCACTTCACCCACCTGCAAAAATCTAGAGCGTGAGCAAAGCTGCAAAGAAACACCGGAGTTTGTTACTTTGTCATGCAGCGTCCAGCCAATGTATTTCAAGTAGGAGTCGTCGAGGAAATTGGCATGGAACTTGTGCATCCAGACGCCGATTTCCGTCATAGCAATCGCCCGGATTTCCGGAAGAGTGTCCCGGTATCGATGCACGAACACCGACTTGAACATGTACGTGAGCATGTTCTTGATTTCGTCCATGTTCTCTTCCAGCTCCTGCCGTTTGCCCAGCAGGGCTTCAAGGCGGTCGCTGGCGCGTTTTTCGCGCGACTTTTGGCGCTCCGCCTCGTATTGGCGCTGTGTGTTGTCCAGATTAATAGAAACGGTCAGCGCCACGTCCACTAGCGCCGTCATCAGCTTCATAGCGCCCAAAGTAGCTGTATGTCTGAAAGCTCGCACTTGCGAGTCGGACAGTCCGGTCAGCAACGAGATGACATTGTCCATTAGAAACTGGTCATAGATGATCGTGTACTGGCACTGTTTGACCAGCGTTTGCACGAATTCACAAAAATTCTGCCTGAATTTTTTCCAAGTCTGGCCGGCCATTATCAGCGGGTATTCGCCAGATTCCTCGTCGAATTCTTCGGTCATTTTTCGGATAATCGCCGCGTGCTCCATCTGAGCCTGCATCTCTTGTGTGATTCGCCCCTTGCAACCGGCAGCATTGATAAAGAACTGCATCAGCGAGATCAAAGCCGCCTCTCTGTTTACCTGGAAAATTATTCAGATGCTTTACTGATTGCGTAGCAGTCTTGTTTTCTTTGCAAGGCCACGACCAAGTGAAGCATATTAAATGGATTTATTTCCCATTGTCTGTTTGCATACCTTATAGCTCTCTATCCAGTCATCAACTACATTAGTCAGCGATACTCTGCCGCTCTTGATCACGTTGTAAAGCGAGTCATCATCCAGATCAACCCTAAAATGCAGGTCAACAGTGGCGTTGTTTTTCCTCCCTGGAGGCCTGCCGCGGCCCCGGCCCCGTCCAGGCTTCTCTGGCGGAGGCGAATAAGACATGGGCAACGGTGGCGGGTTGGTAATGCCTCGAGCTCTGGCCCTGCTCAGAAAAAGCGTTTAGAACATGTTCTTTGCGGCCAGCTTTATGTGGCTACCTGGTAATTCTGCGCCCCATTCCTGGAGTAGGAGGCGACTCAAACATGCCGTCGGACGAAGCCCCGGATGTTCCTGCCTGCTCCAAGTAGGGCGGATCTCCATAATGCCCGTAGTTGCCCCCGTAGGGCTCCGGCTCCAAGTGCGGGGTCATAGGGTTGTCATACTCGGGCGGAGGGTCATCCAGGCGGATCCTCTTGCCGCCGCGACGGTGCATTTTAGCAAATTTCGTGCTTTTTTCGCCCCTCAAACAATCGGAAACATTGTGGTTAAAGCGGTTAAAACAACAAGCGTCAGCAAGCTGTCGTTTTTCAGTCTCGCAACCAGAGGTTTTGACAGTTTGGCGAGTTTTTCGTAAGAAATTCTATACAATTCTCGTAAACAGTGACGTAGCTGTAAAACAAAACAGGGACAAAGAATAATATTGAATAAATAAACATAACATTAACAACCAAATAAAATTAATTTATAAAATGTTTGTAGTTGGTAGACTGTTTGACCTGATGTGGTTAACTTCACTATAGACGCGAAATGTTAAAATGGCAGCGCCTCTAACCTCACTCAGAACGAACGTTTGTTTTGTGGTTTGTTTATCCGAAGATCCAGGACAAACTTTAAATATTCCTGCACTTTGCCCTTAGGATAGAGGCGTTGAGTGTCAGAGGCGGTTAATTCTGAGGCCCCAAAATGTCCGAGCCTGGTAAGTAGGGGCCTCCAGCCTCTAGGGAAACATGAGGCTAATTAAGCGCCCTCATAGCGTGCGTGCAGCCTGAAAATACCCACATTTTTCAACTGGTTGATGTATTTTTTCCAGAAGAAGAGCAAAGGCCCAAAAGGCAGAAGCGCGACACTTCCTACAAAGCCAAGGCCTTTGAGCGGTTCAAGCGGCTGAAAGAAGGCAACCGCAGCAAGTACGAGGTGGGAGAAGTGGACAGTATCTACGAGACAGTCGACGAGAGAGAGTATGAAAATAGGGTGTTAAACCGGCAAGGGGAGGACTGGATTGTGGACGATGGTAAGTGGGGATTGAGCTTTGAGGGTCCAATTGCAAATTGTTGGCGCTCCAGATGGAAGCGGCTACGTTGAAGATGGGCGCGAGATCTTCGACGACGACCTGGATGCGGAGTCAATTAGCAAAGCCGCCGGTAAGGGCAAGGGCGTGAAGCGAAAGAAGGCCGTCTCCGACCCCCGTTCTAAAGGCAACCTCAAGTGCATGTTGGCGAACATCAGCGGCAAGAAAAAAGAGGTACGTTGACGGAAGGCGGCAGAGAATGTCAATCTTGAGATAGATTGTTTAGGAGACGCAAATTGAAGACGACAACACATTGGCGGAAATCCTGGGCGAAATGGACGACGCGCCTTCAACTAGCTCGACCATCGAAGTGAAGCCGTTCGTTCCGCGAAAACAAGTGGCGCAAGACTACTTTAAAAAGTTTGAATCCCGCAAAGTAAACCCTCCAAGGGAGGCTGCAGCAGAGGCGAAGCCACACGTTCCGATTGAGGCTGCGCCCAAATCCCCAGAGCCCCTACCTGTTGCAGAAGACATCAAACCCGCACCAGCGGCAGAGGAGGACGAATTCGAAGACGACCTGGACTTGTCGCGGATTGAGGAAATTGAAGCCCACATACCGGCCATCGACGACAAGAAGCCACTCAAAGAATCTCCGGATCTGTTTCCGTTCTTCGCCAACGGCTGCAGTGAGAGCGAGTCTACGCCTATGGAAGTGGCCGCTCCTTTCGTCGTGGATAACAGCGAGGTAATCCACTGTTTTTCCTCAACAGCGGTCGTTTTCAAGGCTTTTGTAGGTGTTCCGCTTTTTCTGGTGGGACGCCTTTGAGGACGTGGAAAGGCATCGGGGCACAGTCTTCCTCTTTGGGAAAACCTATTGCAAAACCTCCAAGGCCTACGTGAGCTGTTGCGTGGCCATCCAGAACATTAACAGGCAGATTTTCCTGCAACCACGGCCTTTTGTAAGTGTTTTTATTTTTCTGCTGTTGAACTGTTGCTCAATGCTCATTATGTAACGTAGCCTGCAGCTAAGCAAGAGCAATGATTGATTTTCTTACTGGTTTTTACGCTCTAGATGTTGGACGAGCAGGGCAAACCTACAGAGCAGCCAGTCACCTACAAGGATCTCTACTGCGAGTTTTCCACCTTGTTGGCCGAGCCGATGCACATCAAGACCTTCAAAGCGCGCCTGGTGCAGAAAAAGTACGCCTTTGACCCCACAGTGCCACGAGAGTCTGATTACTTGGAAGTGCGCTACTCTGTAAGTTTTTGCCGGGGTTAATAGTTGCAGGAAAAAGCTAATCAAATGGGGTTTTTGTTCCAGGGGACATACCCCAAAGTGAATCTCGACGTGCTGCAATCTAAGCCAAAGTCGTTTTGTCGTGTTTTCGGCCTTAATGCCTCCTTTTTGGAGCTGTTCCTGCTGGACGCCAAGATCAAGGGCCCGTGTTGGCTGGACGTGAAAAGCCCAGAGGTAAAGACCAACCCGCTCAGCTGGTGCAAAGTGGAAGTAGGCTGCAGCTCCATTTCCAATGTGGTGAAGGTAGAGGAGGCCATTCCGCCGCCCCCTTTGGTGGTAACCGCCATAAGCATCCGCCAGCACATCAACGCCCAAACGCATCAGAATGAGGTGCTGATGATTTCCTGCGTGACGCAAACTAGCTATGCCATTGATAAACAGCAGCCCACTCCACCGTTTAATCAGCACTTCTGTGGTCAGTTCTAGGATTAGTTGAGGGAAAATCAGCGATTTTTTTTCGTTTTTAGTGATCGCAGTCCCTTCGCAGCAGCCGCTGCCGCTCAACATGCACGAGCAGCTGCAGAGCTACAAAGGCACGCGAGTCCAGAAAATGAACTCGGAAAAGGCGCTTCTGAACTACTTTGCCGCTCAGTTTAGCAAAATCGATCCCGACCTGATAGTGGGGCATGGATTGAAGGGTTTTCAAGTGGACGTGCTGGCCAATCGGCTCACCCGCCTGGACATCGCCGCCTTCAGCAAATTCAGCCGTCTGAGGCGCACGGTGAAGAAGAAACTCGCCCTTGATTTGTTCACCGGACGATTGGTTGCTGACATCAAAATCTCCGCCAAGGAGCTGATCAAATCGCGCTCTTACGACCTGCCGTCGCTCTGCCAACAGGTGCTGAAGATCCCGGAAAGCCAGCTAATGGACCTGGAGCCGGATGAAGTGGTGAAGATGTTCGACAACGTCCAGGATTTGATTAAGTTGATTTCCTTTACCATGAAAGACACTGCCTGCTGTCTGAAGATTCTCTATGACTTGAACATTGTGCCGCTGGCGCTGCAAATCACCAACATTGCCGGCAATGTGATGTCGCGAACGCTGATGGGCGGCAGGTCGGAGCGCAATGAATACCTGCTGCTGCACGCCTTTCATGAAAAAGGCTTCATAGTTCCCGATAAACAGTATGGCAGAAAAGGCGACGCTTCCGACCCTGATCAGGCCACCCGGAAAAAAGCCACTTACTCAGGTAAGTCAAACGATTTAGCCTTCTTCTACTCACTGCACCATAAACCGTTGTCTCAGGCGGCTTGGTATTGGACCCCAAGGTGGGCTTCTACGACAAGTTTCTGCTGCTGATGGACTTCAACTCGCTCTACCCCAGCATCATTCAAGAGTACAACATTTGCTTCACCACGCTGCCGGTTTCGCTGAAGAACGACGCTCTTCTACTGCCCGATCAAAGCTTGCCGCTGGGCATTCTTCCCATCGAAATCCGGAAACTGGTAGACAGCCGGAAGCAGGTGAAGAGCTTGATGAACGCCTCCGGGCTGTCGCAGGAGCAGAAAATGCTCTACCACATCAGGCAAATGGCCCTTAAGCTGACGGCCAACAGCATGTATGGGTGTTTGGGGTTTTCGCATTCGCGGTAAGCAAAGTCTGTCCAAATTTTTTGGCAGTGTTTTTCTATTACTTGTTCACCGAGCAAGACAAAAATTTGATTTCTTGGCGAGCGCTGGCGGGTTCTGTGAGTCTGAAGTTTTTATTACAATTTGCCGATACATTTTCTATTTGTGTGTATGTTATTTTTGGGGTGCCGAAAATGCCTAAGCAATATTGTGAGGGCAAACAACAGTTCATTTGCTCATATTTTCACCAGATCTTGTATGAGTTTCTCATTTTTTCTTCTATTGTTGTCGTAATCTAACTGCAGGCTTCCCCAACGAAAATAACACGTTGACGCTCGCAGTTAAAGCCAAGAACTGCATTGAGGCAAATTAATGACGAAACAGAAGAAAGTTATTTTTTCCAGTTTATTGTTTACATTCTGCAAATTTAACTCGCTTTTTTTTAACTCCAAGTTAAAAGTGAATTTGCTTTTTTACATGCAAATATAAACTTTGAACAACGGAAAGTAACGGTAGTTTTAAAAACTTCTTTAAAACCGTGCTACATCAATAATACCGGGGTCAACAGAAATAAATCGGAACAAACGCTCAAGCTGGCAAGCACGCAATCCGACAGAAAACCTTGCGAATCAGCCTGTATCAATAAGCTTGTTTGATTGGTTGATGGTGATAATTCGCAACTTTCGATTGATGGTGTTCCTTGTAGATTCTACGCCCGCAACTTGGCAGCGCTGGTGACGCAAAAAGGGCGTGAGATCCTGACCAATACCAAAGACTTAGTGGAGCGCATGTGCTTAGAGGTAGTTTACGGTGACACTGACAGCATCATGATCAACACCAACCTGGTGGACTTTGACGAAGTTCTGAAGATCGGCCACAAAGTGAAGCAGGAGGTGAACAAGCTGTACAAAATGGTGGAACTGGACATCGACGGCATCTTCAAGTATCTGCTGCTGCTGAAGAAGAAGAAGTACGCCGCAGTGACGCTATCGCGCACTAAAGACGGCCAACTAGTCGAAGAGAAGGAGTACAAGGGGCTGGATATAGTGCGCAGGGATTGGTCGCAACTGGCTTGCGAAGCCGGTCGGTTTATTTTGGAGCACATTTTCAGCGACCAATCGGAGGACGATCGGCTGAGCCACATCCGCAGCTACCTGCGCAAGCTGCAGGAGGATCTAACGGAGGGGCGCGTGCCGCTGCAGCTGCTCGTCATCACCAAGCAGCTGGTCAAGGACCCGACCATGTACGCCAATAAGGCCGCCCTGCCGCATGTTCAAGTCGCCCTCAGGTAAGCAGATACATGGCACATATGCCTTAGGGCTCGGTAACTGCAAATTACGCTTTCCAGATACAACCGGGAGCGTGGAGGGCACTTTAGGGAGGGCGACACCATCCCCTATATCATCTGCGAAGACGGCACCTCCAACTCGGCCTCGCAGCGCGCCTTCCATCCAGAAGAACTCAAGCTCAAAGACGCTCTGAAGGTAGACACCAAGTACTACCTGGCCCATCAAATTCATCCGGTGGTGGCGCGCATTTGCGACCCCATCCAGGGGATCGACGCCTATCAGATCGCAGAGTGCCTCGGCATGGACCCCACCTCCTTTAAAAAACCCGTAGTGAAGGCTGCGAGTGTGAGTGAGAACATCACCAGGCCCGAAGTGCGGTACCGGGATGTGGAGAAGTTCTCCTTCCAGTGCTTGAGCTGCAAGGCGACCAATTGCGTGACGGCCCCCATGAAAGGGGACGTCCCATTCCTGGCATCCTGCACCAATGAGAGCTGCCAAGCCAAGCCGCTGGATTATTTGTTTTATGTTCAGAATCAGCTCACCTGCACGATCAGGAGGCACATTCAGCGCTACTACGATAACAAGCTGATCTGCGAAGATCCATCCTGCCCCAACGAGATCCGCAGTCTCCCCCTGCGATTCGCCGGAAAATACCCGGTGTGCACAATGTGCAAACAGTGCGTGATGTTTCGCGACTATACCGAACATCAGCTCTACTGCCAGCTCAGCTACTTTGTCTACCTGTTCGACATCGGAAATCTGGAGAAGAGTAAGAAATGAGCGCGTTGTAGGCGATCTCAACTGAGTGAGTGCGTTTGTTTCAGAGTTCCTACTAGAGGAGGCGGTTAGTCGCGGTTTCCAACAGTTGCGTCAAGAGGCGGAGAGATTCCTCAACGCATCCAGCTACTCAGTGGTCAATCTGCAAGAGCTCTTTGATTTTGTGCTCGGGCGCAAGGAGTCCCCGCCCAAAACCCTCGTGCAGCTGGAAACCACCCAGCCCGACCTGTTCTACGCCGATGAGGACGATGAGGTGGACATTTAGTGATTTTATTTTTAATACATATTTTTTTGTTTATATTTTGTTTGCCATGCTTTGCTTTCTTTTTTTCATCGGCCCCAGAACATTTTCAAATTCCCGAACGCAGTTTCACGATTATGCACTCCCAGAAACTTTCACTGCAAGTTATTTACTGATAAATTGCGGCTTCTACACCATAATGTTGGGATTTTGCACCCGACTGTTTCTTGACTCGACTATTAAGGTATTTTGGCGAATGTTTGGGAACGCAGTTATTCGATTGGAACTTCATTAGTGGCCAAGGCCACTAATCAAAATCCACGTTGCCACTCGTCGGCCATCAAGCGTCCTTGGACGCACATTTCCATCTAGTAAACTATGTGTAATTGGAGTAATTATAATGTCGAGTCGAGAAACGCGGCAACGCCGCCCTGATAGTAGTTGTCAAACTTATTTAGGTTATGTGTACCGTTAACAACAAAGTAAACTTTGCAGGCTGCCCTGTTTGGCTCAGTGTAACAATTACGCAGTGTCCAGGCCGTATTAAATCAGTGATAACCAGTCTCCATGTCAGCACCGCCACTGTTCCTGCTGCTCTACCTTTGAAGTCATGAAAAGTGAAAGCGCAGTCCCACTGGAATGGACTAGTGAGCTTACGAAGGCCTACTTGCAGGGCCAAGGCCTGGAGTCAGGCAGTTTGCGCCTGCTGTGCGACGACAATAGAGTGGACGGGAAATGCCTGCTATCGCTCAACGATCTGGACTTTACATTGGAGCCGATCATCCGGCTGACACTCAGGGACCGCAAGTTGTTGTTTATTGTGTGCAAGGCGCTGCAGAGGGACAATCATGAGGTGCTGGCCGGGCTGGGGGTAGTGAGTGAGACGCCCGAGTCCAGTATTTTCGCGCAACATCATCAGCCCAAGTTTGAGAGCGAGTATGGGGATTTGGAGCACGTTTCCCCGACGCTGTCTGAGGACGGGCGCCCGTTGCGTTTGCCGCCCGATAAAACCAAAGCTTTGCTGAGTTTCTGCTATGTGGTGGCCGTCACTTGGATCACTGCCTTTGTTATGGTGATTGTCCACGACAGGGTGCCCGATATGAAAAAGTATCCCCCGCTTCCAGACATATTCCTCGACAATGTGCCCCATATCCCTTGGGCGTTTGATATGTGCGAAGTCACTGGCACTTTGATGTTCACCATTTGGCTCATCGTGCTTCTATTCCACAAGCACAGGTAGTTGATTGACCTTAGTTAAATTGCCGATGATTCTTAGTGCTTTTGTAGGTTTATTCTCATGAGGAGGTTCTTCTCGCTTTCCGGCACCGTCTTCCTGTTGCGCTGCATAACGATGCTGATCACGTCCCTGAGCGTCCCGGGGACTCATTTGCAGTGCAAGCCGCGCAATAACTTCCTCCAGGGCTCCACCCCTTTCGACAATCTCACTAAGAAGCTGTCGCAGGCCTACATTATTTGGAGAGGCGCCGGCATGTCTATTCAGGGCGTGCGGACCTGCGGCGACTACATGTTTAGCGGCCACACCGTCGCCTTGACCACCTTGAACTTTTTTATCACCGAATGTAAGTTGGGCGCTCGATTGTGGATAAAATGGTGAATGTTCAAATTGCAGATACCCCCCGATATATCTACTACCTTCATACGCTGTCCTGGATGATGAACATGTTCGGGATTTTCTTCATTCTGGCGGCCCACGAGCACTATTCCATTGACGTGTTTGTGGCCTTCTACATAACCAGCCGGCTGTTCCTCTACTACCACACCTTGGCCAATAACCAGGCGCTAATGCAGCGCGACTCTACACGCACAAGGGTCTGGTTCCCGCTGTTCTCCTACTTTGAGGCGAGCGTGGAGGGAATAGTGCCCAACGAGTACGATACGCCTGCCGAAGTCACCAGGCAGTTCTGCGGCTTTGTCAAAGAACTGCTAGTGGATGGCTTCAATTCGTTGGCTTCCATTTTCCAAAGACATGAAACTGTTGCTGCCGTGCAGTCCAACGCAGCTGCCAGCAGTAAGAAAACTAGCTGAGACCTGGGTAATGGATTAATTTATTTTTGTTGAATTCTATGCATTTTATTTGACTCTAAGTACCCGTCTGCTTCCGTCCCGTTTCGTCCCGCTCTTGGGAGGTTCTGTAGGTACTCACCTCCTAAACCGCCTAAGGAGTATCAGTCCTAGATCCTTGATCCTAGACCTAGATAAACCCCTTTTGGCTTAATAGTGGCTGATTTATCGCGGCTATTTTTCAAGAGGGCGCACTACTGCCTCGAAACAGGTAGCCACTGTTTTATTAATACATACACGTAGGATGCAGGACAGGCCATTTAATATTATGAATATATTACAACCGGGCATGAAATCCGATCTACATGTGTTGGGAGCTGGTTATCTGATCGTTTGCGCCGAGACGGAAGACGGGTAATTAAGAGTAATTTAATATTGCGCTACGGGAAAGAGTTATTCGGTTTGGTGCCATTGTGCGATCGCCATGTTTACGGTTTTCTAACTTGGGGAATTTTTTCAGCGCTTGTTAGCTTGCGTAGCAGTGAGAGTACGTGGATTTTTGCTAATAAAGCGGTGGTGAACAGTGCCGGAAATACCATGTTGCGCCCTTAAAAGCTCGCATTTAAGAGGAACGGTTGGTTGGGGTCTTTAATTCTCCAAAATGTTGCATTTTGTCCTTTAAACTCGCTCCTTCATGCGGATGGAGGATGGTGAATAATCACCCAAGGTGCTTTCAGTTTCCAAGCAACCTTAAATGCCGAAATAACTCGCGCTTTGGTGTTGCGCTTCTTGAGGAGGGCAGAGGGTTTTGAGCAGAAATCTCGGCAAACCCTTGGAAAGTTCCACGCATATGCAAAAAGATCGGTTGTCCTTCGAAGTCGCTCTTTACGCACAGGAAATTTTGGGAAAAATTACCAACCTAAAGTGGCGTCCTTTAATGCAACAGACAAACACTAGCGTTTGTTTTGGTTAAGATGAATATTTCGGAAGAATGACCGAAGCAAACCGGGCAAACCCTTGGAAAATTCCTTCAGACACTTAAGGTTGGTGCCCTTTAAGGGTGGAAAACTCGCGCTTTGGCCTTTGAAATCGCTTGTTCAGAAGTGGAGGTTTAGAAGAATGAGCGAACAAATCCAGGCAAAACCTTTGAACATTCCATACACCTGAGGTTGGCGCCTTCAGGGCCGGATTAACCTGTGGTAACCTTCACGCCCGGGGCTAGGATCCCTGCAGAGGCTTTTTTCCAAAAAAAAAAGAAAAGTCGCAATATAGATCTTACCGAGGCCCCCGACATCGTGAGGCCCGGGGCTGTAGCCCCCGTAGCAAGGGCGAATCTAGGAGGGGGGGGGGTCATAACCCCCCCCCCCTAGAAAATGAACATGAAAAAAACCACGCAGATCTAAAACTTCTTGGATTCAAGCCTTTTTTGAAAAAACTGCCAACATTTTTCCATCCATGGTTCACTCTCTAAAAAGGCCATTTATTTTTGTCTAGAATGATGTACAAATGAGCGTTCTTGCTCATTTTGCCACCGAGACATGAGCAAAAACGGGACGGAAAACATAAAATTTTGGCATAATCTTGCACCTCAGTGTCTGATATTCAAATTTCGCTTTCTGTGTTAAAACTACTCGAATTTCCTCACTAACGTTGTTACGACTGAATCGACTTTTCAATTCTCTATCCAACGATGCCAAAACGAATTCGACGACTCGAATGGTTCTTGAGAAACTTCGAAAAAAGCAGCGTCATGTTCAAGTGGATTTTGCAACTCAAAAAAAAAA